TTTCCAAAGAGGTCCTTTCAGCATGGATGTTCAATCCCCTGTAATAAGTGTCATTATGAAAAGCTCCATCTATTGTGTAATTCAAAGGAGCTAGAAGAGTTGTGATTGAAATAATTTCATTTCTTATATATTTGCATAAAGCTATTAGAACAAAATTTTCTTTTTTTTTTAAACTGTGGCTTTATTCCTCATATCGGAGTTCTGTCCTTGGAGCATCACAGAATTGGGTTTCATGTTCAATCCTTGACAGATATTTGAAAGGGGCATTTCTGTTGTAAGCACAGCAGCAGCTGCGGCTACAGCTCAGCTTCCCTTGTTTATAGTGTGAATGTCATCCTATTCATTCCAGCCAAATTCTGTCCTTTTTTGGACAAACTTTAGCTTCCCATGAACTTCAGCAAACGCTGGGACTGTGTACAGCAGCCCCCAGTCATGTACCAGTGTCAACATTTTAATAAGTGTTTGTTTATTCACACAGTACAGCGTACAAACAGCATCCAATTCTTCTGGTGCTGGTTGAGTATTTCTCAAATCGATGGGTACAGGACCGGGCCCTTAATTTGCCAGCAACCAGGGCATTTAAATGAACTATGCCTCAGACAGCAGATTGGATAGCTGCTCACATGGAGTTTTGCTTGATGTACACAGTATCTCCGATAGGTCCAAGAGGTATTAAATCTAATGTGCGTGTGTGATTAATCTGTGCATGCACAGTGAATCTTACTGGCCCAGAAAAAAAAGCGATATGTAATGATTTCATTAGCAACCAGCAATTCTATACTGAAACCAATCTACAGTAAAAGCAATCTGCAATTAGCCTGACAGCAAACTTTGTCCATTGCCATTGTACATTAATATTTCCATATTTTGTGCTAAATTCTGGACTGGCTTCCTTGTGCAAGCCAGAGACAAAAGGGATGTGAAACCACCAAAGGATTCGGGGTCTACCAAAAAATGTGGAGTTGCTGAGTGGAGAGTTCACATCAGCTGGAGATGAGTATCTCTAGAGATAGAGAGACAGAAACCGCAATATACAGTGGCTTCTCCTCATGCAGAGATGGAGGTAACAGGGCTGAAAGAGACTTGTGTAAACTTTTAATAAAGATGATAGTATAGGTAAGGTCTGTACATATTAAGTTTTTCTAACCCTTTGCTTGAGTGCTTTATTAAAAAGAAAAAGGTTTGTGGCTAGCAAACAAGAAAACTGCACAGCAGAAATCCATCTGAAGGCTGTGGGATTCACCAAGGGGGTGATGGAGGGGAAACCTGATCCAGAAGGAAGGCTTACTAGCAGAACCAAAACGGATCCAAGCATATCTTACCCATAAGCATGACAGAGATATTCAAGGCCGCTTCCTCCCCCCCTCCCCAAAATGGAATTTTATCTTTGTTTCCCTTGCGCCTTTATTAAATTAGGCAAATAGCTCCTTTGTCCACACTGCTGTTTGATCTGGGCAGCAGTTTGCTATTTCTTACTGGTTTTAGCATCCTGAATGCTTTGCCAAAAGTGGTTGCCACTCCTCTGCAAATCATAAGGTAACTAATACTGAATCTTCTTCCCTCATTTGTGAGCTGAGTCCAGAGAAGTTTTAGTGGAAGCTGAATTTGTTGAGAATGCAAAGCCAATGCTTCCATGTATTTTAAGATAAAGGCAAATTTCTGTTTTAATGTAAAACTAACCTTGCCTCCACCCCTCCCCCCAAACCCTGAAACCAGCAGAGTAACGCAGCAGCGGGGTTGATCTTAAGAGTTACATCAGTCAAATGGTGCTCCCAAGCAAGGGAGCAGCTCAAATACAATTTTAGTTCCTCTGCCTTTCAGAACTCAGTTGGATGTAATGTCTACATCAAGGCACTGACAGAATGAAGCTAACTGGTGTGAAAAAACCCACTCCTTCTGAAGAAGCTTCTAAATACCAGTTGTCTAAATCTATTGATAAGCAGGGATGCATTATTAATGAAGCCTGCAGCCTGCCTAGTGCTGCTCAGATGGTTCGAGCATTTAGTAGGAAACATTTCTGTGAAGTGCTGCACGGAATAATGACAGTGTCTGTCTTAAATCGAACAAATGACTATAGCAAGCTCTGGGGAGGCTCGGAGCAAGCAGATGCTTTCCAAGTGAAAGGCAGTGGGGTACCACCTGCTGTAGGCAGGCAGGAACAGTCCACTAAATATTGACTTGTTAATAATTCAAGACAACAGGAACCCCTAGCTCTTCAAGCATGGCACTGCCCCTTCATCGCGTGGCTTTTCATCACCCTAATGAGCTACTTGAAGAATCAGACACTGAAATGTCTTGCAGATATTCCCCAAAGACTAGGACTCAAGCTGCCGTAATTCTGAATAAGAAGTTATCAGCGGTACACAAAATCAAGAGAATTTTAAAAACGGCAGGATCAGTGCTTTCGCTAAATATTGCTGTTTGCTACACATTGCTGCGTAGTGACTCAGTCTGCAGTTTGTACTGCTCCCGGAGCAGAATGCCTGTCTTTGATGACATTTCTCTGGCTAAAAATAATTGACGTTCTAGTTTATTACAGGCATATTGATAGTTTTATTTGCAAGAAGAAAAAAAGCGCTGTGAAAATCTACAAGAGATCACTTCCAACTGGAATTCTCAATTAATACTTTCTAAAAAGGATCTTGGTTTTGTGATTTGTATGTGTTTGGGACCCTCCCCAATTCCTACCTTCATCATGGATGTTAAATCAGCATTTGCAAATGAATACTCTTCTGTTGAAATAATTGAAATTGAATAACCCATTGACAATGAAAAACCCTTCAAAAGTTAGCAAAGCTTCTATGCAGGGTTTATTGACTTCCTGGTTTACTACCAACAACAGCAGTTTGCCCTGCTTGAACACTGCAGCTTTAGGATGAAACACAGGAGCTCCTGTATTAGCAGTATATATCCTGGTGATTGTTGCTGTTGCTTCTCTTTCTGTTGCATCTTTAAGATGCAACCTTAACAGAACCTTCCCATTCATTCCCCATTTTTTTGATTTAAGATCTTTTTCTTCCCCATATATATAATTTCTCATTTAGTTTTGAATGATAACGTAATATTCTATTCTGAGATGTTTCTTGTTTCCATGATTTTCTCAGCTGTCAAACAGTTAAGTTATCAATCAGCTACCTGACTTTGCAAACTTCACAGGGTATTTTGCTGCACTTAATCAAGCTGACTAGGCTTCACTCTGTGAACAGTCTTAATAATTGCAAATGGAATTTAGTAGACTGTTCATAAAGCAAGTGATTATCTATACTGAGGAACTTAAAATTGCAGCAAATTCATTAGTGTTGTTACGAAGATGGTGCTTCCTCCATACCACAATGAGTGAAAGTGTCTTGTGACTTTCCAGCACTGAGCACAAAGCTTTATTGAAAAGAGCCATGAGTGTGTGTCTTTCTCTGCTGCACCGTTGAGCTTCTGCTGACAGCCTTCCAAGTTTTTGGTCATCTGTATGCACTGATAGTCTTCGCATTTGTCAGGACTTGGAAAATGACCTGGGCTCCCTTACTGGGCTAATTGAAGTTGCCCCCACACCTCCACAAACTTTATGCTTTTTTCTGTTGTTTGTGTTGTTAGAACATCTTAGCGAGCTATACTGTTCATTCAGTGGTGGCTGGTCCTTACTGGGCCAGCCGGAAGTGATGTGCATGAAATCACGCTGTAAAGAAACACCAGGAATTTAAAACTGCAAAGTGTAGTCTTTTCCCTGGTATTGTTTGTTTTTTCTTGAGAAGGTCAGTAGGATAGAAAATATCTTCTAATTTCTTTGTAGGATGGGAATATGTGGGGTTTATTTCAAGTAAAACTAACAGCTATCTAGGAAAGTAGTCTTTAATGCATTTCTCTTTCCTTTGCCTAAGACACTTTTATATTGTGGCTGTAGTAGTTTATTTCTGTTTGCATCATTTGTGTCATTCTTTTAGATTCTTTTCTCCATTTCTCAGCTGCAGCTATTGCAGAAATAAATGTGATAATGCCCACGCATCATAAAGGATATAGGGAGATGAGAGAAGTCTACTCTGCAAAAGTAGATTTGCCAAAACAGCTAGAGATTGTGGCAAGGCTCTGTTGTCCCCACCTCTCTTTTGAGACGGTGAGTAGATAGGTGTCTTCAGCACCACTGATCCAGTCACTGCTGGCAAATACTCACCTCCAGCTCTTTGACAGTTACAGCACTGGTCGGCCCGCATTGTTTCCCTGACTTGCTCAGCATCTCTCCCGGCATGAGGACATCAGTGTTAGCAGTGCTTCTCTATTGTCCTTACCACCACGTATGCAGCTGTCATTGCAACACTGAGGCAAGCATTACCCTTTCTGCTTCCCCCAAAATAAAATTGCTTCTGCTGCACAGAATTGCTGCTCTTTGTATTCAGGGTAGAAGCAATATGAGATTTTATTGAAGTTCGGGTTTTTTTGCTTAGACAAAACCCTGTTTTATGATAGATAGGTTGTCTGGTCAGACATTATTGCTAGAGAGTATAATTTCTTCTGCAGCTTAAAAATCTCTTTATCCTGATTACCAGAAGATAGCCTGCTAGCATTTCCTCATAGCTTTTCATTTGTTGGCTACAACAGGTTTGGGACAGTGCTTGATGTTATTTGGTGAGGAAAAGAGGTAGATGATCCTTGATTATGCAG